GGTCATATGAGTACAGACATTTCTATGCTGAATCTTGACTTGCTAGATAAGATTAACTAAAACATGAGGTTAACTGTTGACAGTCAAGGTTCTAATATCGAATAGACAAGGATTTTTGCAAACTGGCTTTTGGATTTAGGATAAGGCAAGGTTGGTAGTGTGAATGATGATGAAGCAATTATCAATATACCTGATGATCTTCTCATTACCGATTCAACGAATCCCATATCTGTATTAATTGAATTTGTCTATCCTTCTATTCTTGTAAATATCAAGAATTCATCCTATTTTTCCTTTTATCCCTATATTGAGTCTTTTTATTACTTTATTTATCCTTTTATTTATTATGAAGCTAAATCATGTGGTTGACTTGTTTCTACACAAAATAGAGTCTAATGTAAAAAATTGCTAAATTGTTTGACGCTACAAAATTGAAGCAGTAGTGAGTTGATGCTTATACGGCCTTTTGAAGATCTTAATGGATAAGCTGATGCCTTTTGTGGTTTCTAGAAGACTCTATGGCTGCTGACTTTTGTGTAAAAATTTAGTAAATTATTTTTATTTAGATTTTCTGAATTCTTTATTCAATTATGACATAAGGAGGTAGGGGTGCAGAGACAGCCAGGAGGTTACTTTTGTTGGGAATGGTGTAACTATCTAGTTCATTGTTGTCCTTCCTAGTTACTTTTTTGTGGTTTTACCCTTTGGTTCTTCATTTTGTCACTTTTGTGACTTGTTTTTGGATAAATAAGGGGTTGGGCTCTTGTTATATCCATCCCAAAAATCAGCTCCTAAAGTTGATCTCTCTCTAAACCTTGAAGAAATTTAAGTTTCTTAATTGCTTTTAAACTTGTTTTTTACTTTCCGTCATTTAATTTCTGTTATTTACTTTCCTCTTTTTTTATTTTTCCGCTATTTACATTACGTCATTTACTTTGTGCAATTTATTTTTATGTCTTTACTTTACGTTATTTATTTTATTTGTCATTTACTTTCCGTTATGAGTGGCTAAATTCATAGCTTGGGTGTGAGACGAAATGGTGAGATTTTAAACCGAAAGAAAGTAACTATTGTTTACAATAACGACGTTCCATTATTTCATTCAAGTTTTTATAAAACCAAACACTTATTGACGAGTTGATCACTTTGAAAGTGTTAAAATGTCATGGTCTTAGAGATAAGCCATTGAATGCATATCAACTTGAATGATATAAGAGGTAGACTTGAAAAAGTTGCCGATAAGAAGACTTGTTATTTATATCTTTTAAAACAATTAATTCTCGACAAGTTGGTCACTTGTTAAAGTGTGTGAGATTCAGAGATAAACTACCTAGAACACACGCCAACTTAAATGATATAAGAATTGGCATATATATATATATATATATATATATATAAGATTCTTGTACTAGTGGGATCTTTGTATTGTAAATTGTATTTCCTTTATACAAAGTACATGTAATATGCAAATGTGAAAGTTTGGGGTGTTACAATATAACATAAATGTCCAGCAACAAAAGATCCTAATCTCAAGTCCGCTGCAAGTAACATCTACTAAATGCGTCCTCTCAAACGATATATAGCTATAACAACAAAAACAAATAGAAGCCATCATTCAATCCATTTGAGGTTTATATGTCCTGTAATAAAACAATACCAGTTTATGTCTGCGAATAACGATTGAGACAGCATCATATTATGACATGCAATGCACAACAATACAATAAAACAGCAGTTCCAATAATCAATAAAACGACGTAACACTATCAAAGTTTTACCAAGTTTAAATTCTAATGGCCATTCTCTCCTCCCCTACAGTTAGCATCAACGCAAGTAAACTCAGGATGCAAAAGATACCACATACCCCCAAAAACTATTCCTCTTCTCTTCTCTTATCTTATCATGCTGCAAAAGCCGATAAAATATTCTTCTTCAGGGTGAACTCGTCCGCCTTTGAAGGGCTAATCGACTGCAAAAACAGAACACAATCAAATACTTTTACGTACCAAGTAGGGTCTATGGAGTGTCAGATGTACGAAACAGTACATTCTAGAGATGATGACGGGTTTTTACCTTAGCAAGAATACGTTCTAGCCGTTGGATCTCGTTCTTTGCATAATCACCACCTTTGCTTAGACAACTCTTGGCAGCCTTCACGTATATCTTGCCATATCTGTAGTCCACATTGAAACCATAGTGTCAAAATGTGATGACAAAAGAAATGCGTACAACTGTTTTGCACGTCTTGTTCTCATTTTATAGCATAAATTGCATCTTTTTACGCATTTTCTTACCTTTTTTAGTTTCTCTCTTTTCAATGCCTAATAGTTCATCACAGGTTTATTCACATTTTGGCAAGTATTTTCAGTGTGCAGGTGTGTAAGGATGAGGAGAAGAGAACAAAAAGTGGTGTAGGAAGCGGAGATGATGAAGAAACTGAATAAAAATATAACCTGGCAGAAGAACCGGTGAGCTTTCCAACTTCCTCTTCGATCTTAGCATATAGTGCTTTCTTTTCGTCATTACCAGCACTTACAAACTCCTTCACTAAGCTTTCCAATTCTGCAATTAAACCAGCCTACATTGACAGGAAAAGGAGTTGTTAGATGTCTCTGTGTTTTTTTAAACTCTACTTGTAAGTTAGGTCACTAACATTGGAGGTAAGTTGCCCCTTCCCATCACGACTAGTACCACACTTCTCGTTGATGAAGCTTACGAAACTATCTAGATCACGTCCCACTTCATAGTCTTCACCACCTTTGTTATTCTTTGGGAAGAATTTTAGTGTTGGATAACCACTCACACCATACCTACATAACCCAATCTTAATCATAAGCATCCTTCAAGTGACAAAAATAAATCAAAACGCAAATTCAAAAACCATCATCTTATGCGTTCGTACAGGATTCTATTAAATATTTAACACTTCTAAAACTGAAAATAAATAAAACGGGGTAAATGAATAGTGTTGCACCAAATTTACTGTGTAACTATTCATTACACCAAATTTGGTGCAAGATTTAGTGTGCCACTGGAGTGATTTGGTGTAAGTTTTAGTGTCCCATTGCAGATGGTTACAGAACATAAATTTGATTTCTAAAAGAAGCAAGTATTTGTCACTTACTTCTCAGCTAGATCCTTATGGTTGTCAGCATCAAGATTGGCAATAACTACATCTTCCTCATTTTTGAATGCAGCTGCAACACTTTCGTAAGTCTGTGACAGAAAAGAGACAATTAGCTTACTGTATTTGTACCATCAGGGTCCAGTCAAGCTACCTGTAAGAGTTTAGATACATACAGGAGCGAGGCTCTTGCAATGCCCACACCTGTAACAGGAGACAAGATTGTAAGATGCAAATCAGGCATTGATCAACAAACTGGCTAGGACGACATTTAAGGGCTTCAACACCTTAGTTGATGAAAATAAGTCTTTTATCTTGATATGAATTTTTTAATTAAGGAATAAAACAGGGATAAAATCATCTATATAAGGATTGTGGAAACATGAAAACTGTCATGAAATCAAACATGACGTACCAGGGTGCATAGAACTCGACCAACACATCCTTTTTGTCATCCAGTACAATATCATCAAAGTTATCAGAATTTAGCACCACCACACTTGAGGGAACTGCAGCTATCTTTACATTGGTCCCTGAAAATGAAACAATAGCAATGTTAAACACAATTAACTCTAAATCTGTATCCCAAAAATTGTAACGGATAATTTCACAGGTGTATTTTTTATAAATGCATAAGTTGTACCATGGATGTATTATGTGTCATGATAATAAAGACATGTAGAAGAAACCAAAAAAGAGGTGGAAGGTATAGCTACACGTAAGTGTGCAATTGCATCTACCATGTATCTAGTACATGCTAAGAGCCAAGTTTTTCAATTACACTCCTTTCATTACCTTTCTCCTTTACAGTCTGCCTAAGCACCATGCCAAGTTTTCCAGCAACCTGGTCCCTCTTCATGTCCAATTGTTTCTAGTTCATTTTGGTCTTGTCACTGGCTTACAATCTATTTTCTCTACTGTCTTGCTCTCATCAAACATTACAAAACATTTTTTTCCCTCCTGTCTAACTCTCATCAAATGTTACAAACACTTTTTCCCTCCTGAAAGGGCCAGGGCGCTTTCTTAAAGAGGTATTCTAATATATTAACAGTACATCTTCTGATGAATAGCATGAAAAGTTGATTAGCAAAGAACATGTACTTGAATAATCCCCTGCTCACATCCTTTTTAGCATGTTTAACTCAATATGTCATTGTCCTGAGTTGTGACTACTTGCTTCTCTACATGCAAATATCAACATTTAGTATGTGGTCCCTTGCAATCATTGGAAGATTATAACAATCACAGTTCCCTTCCTGGCCCAGTTATTGATCTTCCTTGCATGAGTGTGCATTAAAAACAGCATTAACATAAAGGTATAGCGCATGAAGTATGATCAACCGCAATGAACAAGACAAAAATATGGGTAGTAATGTGTACGTCTTATAAAAACAAGAATCAAAATCAAAGTAAAAACAAGAAAAAAGAAAGAAAATCCTCAAAGAAATGACTACCATAACCCATTACCTCCTTCAAGATTTACATACTCAATAAGTGCTATAGCAGTGCGGGCGCCTTCATACCTAAGGAAATATTTTTCATTAGAAAAGCAAAGGGGTACTTGTTTTAGCAACAAAAAATTACAATGAAAAGGTTTGGAGGTGTAAAGAGCACAGGATGGTAACTAATGCATAAAGCAATGAACAACACTACTGTGCAAATGATATAATTCCAAAGGACAGCTGGACAGGCAGGGATGAGACTGAAGCGCATAGAAATAGGATAAAGTAACACTTACTTTTTGGGTTCCAAAGATCCCTTGGGAAACCATTGGATGGTGGGGTAACCAGAAACCCCGTATTTGCTACAAACACCCTTATGCTCATCACAATCCACCTGCCAACACAGACATGGTAAAGATACAATAGCATCAAAATCCATTACAAGGATAGATCATCAAGATTGAAAACCAATCAACAACCATTCCATGTCATTAAGTTCCTAATGACGACTAATTATAGTATTTTTCACATTTCCAAGGGACAGTATGACAGTTGAAATTCAGAATCATTTGTAAGTTATAAACATGGGTTAGAATCATGTTAAAAGAACAAGCCAGTATAACAATATAGCGCAAGCAGCTCTGAAAGACAAGCACCACAAAAGCCCAAGGAAGAAAAACAGAATGGTTTTAGTATCAACTTTCATATTGCATACAAAAATAGAGTGCCTTTTTTTCCAGTAAAATTCATAAACGTATGTGCCTCAATGTTGACACACGCTGAGCAAGGTATATGTACTTAATGCCCCACGGACATCATAGCATTCAAAGTATAAAACATTTAAACAGTCATGGGAGGATAAACTTGGCTGATTCAGTTCCAAAAGATGTAATGCAAAGTTCAAATATAAACACTTTCAGACAAATCCAAGTTGAGCAAAAAAACTAATTACGAGTTAAAACATAGTGAGTGGTTTAGATAGAACTAAAAATTTCTAATACTGATAGACAAGAAGTACCAGAAGATCCTATGAGTTCTCACTTCAAAAGTGCATTAGAACAAAAGGAGGCAATGAACCATCAAATTCTTGTTGTGAGGAAATTAAATCATGAAAATTTATCTTGCAAACATATTCAAGAACCTAAAAGTTCTACCTTTCCAATCAAAACGGATTTCGATTTCTTGAAGCTTGCACCAAGTTTTTCATATTCAGGAGCAAGCTTTTTACAGTGGCCACACCTGCCACATAAGACAGTCAAAATTCACTGTTATATTAACATATCAAAATATGAAAGGCTTATCAGACATTTGAAGCAACGAAATTCAAAAGTCTTGAATCTACAAACAACCAAGTAGGCTTTATAGTGTTAAAGATCATTGAGTTTTTAAGGATAGATGATGATGATAATATATGAGTTTGAAAACCACTGAGGCAATTCAAAATTTCCATCCATGCATTTTGCATATGACAAAGTTTACATGAGCATATATTAATACAGTTAAAGTCGAATTTTGCAAAGGCCATGGACTCTGGAGGCGTACAGCACATACTTGAAATAAAATCAATATTCTCAAGAGATGGCGCATCTTGATTTAGCAAAACTTGCACATAGAAAAATAGAGAAACAAACATAACTGAACTAAATACATAATTATGTAAAGAACATACTAACGTACATAGTTGTTGCTTCTTGCACGATGTAAATTCCATTTGAACTTTTAATAAACAAGTTCGGTATTGGGGACAAGTTCTACTTAGCTTGTGGTGCATGCGATTTCTAGCTCAAACTCAAAACGTTAACATGCCTAGCCACTGAGAGCACCTCAGATTGCTCAACTTTACTCAGATCTAGATCGACTCCAAATTGAGAACACAAGAACCAATAAAAACAAGAGTATTCTTCAAATTAGTTGATGAGAAAGTAGATGCAAATTATAGAGACCAAAAATCAAAGTTGTCTTCCTCAAACAAATTTCAAATTAGCTCTATAAACAACCAGAAAATGAATCACAGAGCTGATCTACCACAAGCAAAATCAGTGAAAACAACGCCGATCACCGGTGATATCCCAATTTCAACTTCAACAATAACAGGTTTATAAAATAATTCAGATAACTAGATTGACAACAGAAACGATTAATAAGATAAGATCATTCCAATTACCAAGGAGCGTAGAACTCGACGAGAGCGCCGCGATCTTGACCGACTTCCTTCTCGAAGCTGTCTTCGGTTAGTACGACGACATCAGCGACGGCCAACGACAAGAAGAAGAGGGTTAGGGTTGCTAAAGTGAAGCAGATCGATGATCTCGACATTCTTCGTTTTTCTGTGTGGAGTCTTGAAATGGATCGTAAGGAAAAGGGGTTGGAAGGGTGGGTTTAAGTAACCGTGGGTAAGACCGAGTCCCTATTACTTTTCTCTCGGTCAATATCTTTCTTTTCAAGAAAAACATTATCAACTCCATCTTTCATTCTTTCCTAATAAACATTTCTTACTAATTTTACCGTTAATTATTACATTCATACAACGTATGATGAACGAATCGAAAGTTCTAAAACTTGTTGATTCGATCGAATTTGATAGAAATTTTATATACCCATAAATGTGGCACAATAGTAGTGCAAGTGCACCCCAACTAGGGGTGCTCACGGCCCGGGTTGATCGGGTTGGAGTCGTTTTAACAACTCAACCCAATGTTGGCGATTTAAAAATTTTCAACCCAACCCAACTCAAACAAAAGTTCAACCCAACCCAACCCGTTCGGGTTGATCGGGTTATGTTTAAACAACACACAGAAGTAGGAACACAGTAGTGTAAATCGAAGTCTGATTCTCAAAATACAGTTTTACACAACCTAGCAGTCTGATTCTCAAGCTATAAGATATATATAAATCGAGTCTGATAAAGGTATATACAGTCTGATGAAGGTATATATTAGAGTTTGACAAGAGAAGTAGGAACACAGTAGTGTAAATCGAAGGCTGTTACCTTATCTTTGTCGCAAGGCTGGGTCGCAACTCGCAAGATTAGTGTAAGATTAGTGTAAATCGAAGGCTGTGTAAATCGAAAGCTGTGTAAATCGAAGGTATATATAAATCAAAGGTTGTGTAAAACTGTAAATCGAAGGCTGTTACCTTATCTTTGTCGCCACGCCAGTCTCGCTCTCGCTCGCTGTGTAAATARACTGTCAATCGCTCGCTGGTCTCGCTCTCGCTAGCCAAAGGTCTCGCTCGCTGGTCTTGCTGGTCTCGCTCGCTGTGTAAATAGGCTGTCAATCGACTCAATCCATCGCCAGTCTCCTCTCGCTCACTGTGTAAATCAAGGAGGCTGTTTGATTTGAGTTTAGGAAGGAGAAATGGAGAAGTAGGGCGCCAGCTAGGTTAAACAAGACAGGGCTCCCGTGTGTTTTGATGCTTTCAAGTTTCAATCGGTGTGATCGGGTTGGGTCGGTATTCATTGGGCCCAAATCGATTTCAACCCAATAGAGTCGGGTTACTTAATTTTCTAATCAATCAATGTTCGGGTTACCTCGGGTTTGTTTTTTTTTTTTAAATCAGGCTGGGTTGATCGGGTTCATCGGGTTCATCGGGCCCAAATCGTTTTTTAAGTAATAAAGTGGTAAAAGTACCGAGATCGTATTCACAGTGATTGGACTTCAATGTTTTGAATACTAAGTCAAGAATATTTTAAGCGAGTTTGGTGTTTTTCTAGATTAAATAATAACAAGTAATAAAACGCGGGTATGAGTGCAAGTTTTTCCCAAGAACATGATAGTAACTAAAATAGTTGACAAAATATATCACAAAATAACCCCAGACGATTTCCTTCTCTCGAAGCTACGTCGTACGGAACGTGGCTATGGTCTCACCATAAAGTGGTCACAACTGCTAACTTTCTGTTTGCTAACCTTAGTAAATAGATTTTGAAGATCTTAGTTCCACTAGTATGGAGAGATGTGCATATCTTCATGACACAACTAACTGGACCGACATCTGCCTCAATAAAGATTATGCAACAACCTGTATCTCTATGTTATTATCTCAAACCTCCTTGTATCATTGAAGTCATATTTCAAGTTCGTTCATCTCTGGGTCAAAGATCTACTATTGGCACATACAAGTGATCGGCTTGTCCACGTCTAGTTAAAGTTTCAACTTGAATGACCAAACATGAAAAGTTAGTACGAAGTGGAAATACCCAAATGTTACATTTTACCTATTGAGTTTGGCTTACACCCGCACCCAAAGGGGGATTTAGCTAATGCTTAAAAGAAAGGACATAATGGAAAAAAAATAAGAAGGCGTTCGGTTCACCAGAATGGAATTTGGTGAAATTGGAATCCATCAAAGAAATTTGACTTTAAATGAATTGTAATGGAATTTGACCATGTGTTTGATTGGTAGGAACAGAAACGCAATCTCTCAAAAAATTGGAACAATCATTTTTATTTGGAACACCCCACCCATCGTCGCCACATCTACCACCCCCACCACCCGCCTGCTCCCGCATACCCTACCCAAACCTTGGCCCCCACCACCCTCTCCTACCCTCCCTAAACCCGCTCATCCTGCTCGACGGGTGGTGTAGGCAAGGGTGGTGGGGTGGGTGGCGGGGGTAGTAGCTGTGACGGCGACAGTGGTGGGATAGTGGTCAGGTGTCTAGGAGTGGATGGGTATGACGGCGATAGTACTGGCATGGTGGTTATTGATGGGTTAGGGTAGGGGTGGGGGTGAGTAGTGGTGACAACGACAGTAGTGATGTGGTGGTGGGGGGTTAGGCCATGGGCATGACGGTAACGTTAGTAGCATGGCCACAGTAGGAATGTGTGGTGGGTAACCAGGGGTGGGGTGGGTATGATGACAATAGTAGTTAATGGTGGTTAGTGGTGGGTTGGGGTAGGGTAGATGAGGGTGGGTGGTGGCGATAGCAGTGGTGTGGTGGTGGAAGTAGGGTGAGGGGTGGTGAACAGTAGTAGCATGGTCATGGTGGGAGCAAGGGATGAACGATGACGGAATTCAGTTCCTTTCATTATGCCAGGGAATGATAAATTCATTGATTTATGGAATTGAATGGAATTTGAAGAATTCCATCATTTCGAGAATTGAACAAAACAAAGCAATTGGAATTTGGTTAAAGGAATTTGTCTTTCCAATTCCATCAAATTCTTCGAATTCCACAAACCAAACGAGCCCTAAGTACTAAAAGTTAAATTGCATTAAATCGAAATTCGACACTGTGGCACACTGTCCCACAATGGTGGACAGAACTGAAATGGAGAAAATAAATTACGACTAGCTAAATAAAATATAAGAGTAATTTGATACTTTTTAACTGACACTCAATGTCTCAAGCATGCTTCAACATGAATTGCCAAAACCTTTTATAAAAGTGAAGAAGAGAGAAGATATAAAAATGACTTAAGGTGTAAAAAAGTGATCTCATTACTTGTCTTCTTCATGAAGCTTGTCATATCCTCTTAGTCTTTTTTTTTCCCACTTTCATGAAAAACTCAGGGTTGACAAAAGATGAAATTTGAACCTTATTTCATAGAACTGGAAACAAATATGCTGCAAAAAATATTCACAATTGTTGTTAACCATAGTGAACTTGGCCACAGTGGTAAACTAGCTTACAAATGACACATACACTAATCAAACACACAAAACTTTTATCCTCAACAACTCCAAATGAAAATAAATATGTTAAAAGGGCAAACACGAACACATAAAGGAAAAACACACACTAAAAGGGAATAGAAAGACATAGTAAAGAAGTGTAAATAACACTCAGAATGAGAGTTATTAGAATGCCAAACGTTAAACTCAAACTCGAATCACGAGAGAACCCTAATTTTGGATGGAAAACAAACTTTCTATTATTGAACAAGTGATCATCCAGATTATACTTCGAGCATAAAAGTATAGACTCCCGGAAAGAAATGGGCTTGAAAATAGATTATGCGCCAACCATAAAAGTTCAAACAATTAATGGAAAATAGCAACAAAAAAAAAACCCCACAAAAGTGTCAAAAAGAACATGTTAAAACGATGTTTATTGACCTCAAAAATACCGCAAGACCCTTTCATAAACTAGCTTTGTGATGGCTTCATGTTAGACTTAGTTCTTTATGTAAAAGTCTTGTAAAAAGAATCCAAGTTTTCAACCAGAGAACTTTTGCACCAAGAAGCCAGTTGAACAATCGAATATACAAAGCTACTCAATAAGAAGACAAGTCTTGGAGATGCAAAACCTCTGGTCCAACCATACAGAGCCTTTGGCTTTGCTATGCAAAGCCTTTGCACCATACATGCAAAGCATGTGGTCCAACTCTGTAAAGTGTTGTGTTCATCTGAAGATCTCTCAAGAGCCTTTGCCTATCACAGCCTGCCACATATACATGAAGTGGTTATTTCCCCTTTACATATGGAGACCATCTATTGGAGAAAGTTTTGACTTCCTTTTTTCTAGGCTATAAAAAGAAGTTTCTCTTCTAGGGTTTTGTATGCTTTTTAAGAGATTTTTTCATCTTGTACTTGAGAAAGCTCTTAGCAATTCCGAGAGATATTTTTCGTATACACTACTGTATGTTCTTGGTGTAACTTCATTTTCTCAAATTGCAAATCAATACACATGATGACTATGGTGATTTCACATTATTTGTATTCACTCTTCTATACTCATCATCTCTTAGTCTAGATCAGTAATTAATGTTTTACTACTTTCGCTTACATTATCTCTTAAGCATCTAATTATTTGAATTGAGGATCTGGATTCCTGCACTTCATCCTCTGCCTCTTCTCCAACTCCTTCCTATTTGCATCATGACAATGACTCTTTTGTCAAACCTCAAGTTTCAACAAGAACAACCTTCCTTGGTGGAAAAGTCGTTTAATCTTCTCCTTGAGGGTGTTAGACAGTCAATATCTCACTATTCTCAAGAATGGTCTTATTACCCCAAAGTTTGGTTTTGTGATGTAAAATATAACGACAATGATGAATTCAATACTACTGGCAGGTTCATTGTCAAAGCTCCTAATCAATACAACGAAGATGGTAAGAAACGGGTTGTGTTGCATACCAAGGATTGTCATGCCTCTTCCTGATGATATTTATCAATTTCTTTTATTTTATTTGCTATAATGTTATTAATCTGATAAAGTTAATTTTTGTTATTTACCAATTTTATTTTTGCATTTTATTATTTTTATAGATTTATATTTATTGGTTTGTTAATTAATAACTTTCTATTTGTTACTTATTATTCTTATCTCATTTCCTTTTAACCGAATCTAATTTATTCGCCTTTGATTTTTGCCACTGACCACTAATTTATATGTTTATTAATTATTAAACATTCTAATTATCTTTCAT